TTTTTTCAAACTTCAAGAAACAAAGTGGTAGACCCTTGGGTCACAATAACAGAGCTGCCTTGCATACTATATTATAATTTATATTTATAAATACATATATTTAAGAAATAGTTGACTTTATTTAACAATTATTAGTTTAGTTTTTATTTTTAAATTAAAAAACATAATACTATTTTTTTTAAATCACTATAAAATTATTTAAATAAAATTCAACACAGATGTTATCGTGTTCTGTGTTCGGATAAATTAACTTGTATTAATTTCATGGTTATATATTGAAAAAATGATTAACATATGCATTGAAATAAAATATGAATTGTATAGAAAATTTAATTTATCACATTTTCTCTATTAAATATAACATTTGGATCGTTAAACAAGACAGTTTAACAGTTTAACACAGGTAGGGTACATTTAATATTTATTTATTATTATATAATATGTACATATTATATCTTAGTTATAAACTTATTGCAGAGTAAATTATATATCTATGAAATATTTTCTAAAATTATAGGTTTTTTTATAAAAATAAAATTTGAAATTGAGACACTAGGCGACGTCAATCTTAAAATTTTAAAAACATGGCAAAAAACTGGACTATTGTTTTTCCTATAAATAAACATAGAAAAATCAAGCAATTCATCAAAAAAGGCTTAGTCCTCTAAATCTTTAAAGAAGAGATGAAGTTATCTTAACTTGAGTTAAAATAGGTTACACGAACCTCACCCACTTCTTCCTCACCTTAAAAGAATCTGCCCCAGTATGCGATACATACAAGGATAACTACATCATTATCAGATACTCAAAACACGCCAAATCACGGGAAATCTTCACTGACTAAACTTCTCTCTGATTAGCTCTCAACGAAGAAAACAGTAAATTAATCTATACATTTTTTCCACACACATCATACATTTAAGCAATAACTTGTAAACTACTGTAAATATTTCAATTGTAATTTTCTTAACCTTTTTTAACTCTGTGTTACAAATTTAGTCTAATAACGCATATGCCTTTACTTTAAATAAATAATAAAAAACAAATTTGAAATAAGTTAATTGAAAAAAATATAATTGTAATAAATTCGTTTTTTAATTTTTTTTTTCCATGGTACTAATTGTGGATTTGCGAAAGATTTACAATTCGTAGGTATTAAACTGTTGCGTCTCCAAGGTACGTATAATATAATAATGTGGGTAGGTAATTCGTTCTTCGATAAGATTTGTAATCATCTGATATATTATATTATTATATTATTACGAATGCTTATAGTAATATTTGTAGTAATTCGATCTAAACGTCGCCAAATAATAATAATAATAATAATAATAATATTACAATTTAATGACGTTAGACCAAGCACTGTTAATACTGCACATTATTATTATTATAAACAGTATTATGTTTTACGGTTCGTGGGCACACCGATGAAAAAGACAAAAACATTATTATTGTTTTTTTTTTTTTTTTTTTTTTAATATGCAACGTACATCGGAGCATTTAAATTATCGTTGGTAATGGTAAACGACGACGGCAAACCGGGAGTCCCCCGTGCCTAGCGTGACGAGTCGTAATATATTATTATATCTGTTTGTGTCGAGTACGGTTTTCGGTAATTCGAGACCGTACATGTACGGGAATTGTGAATAAAATAATGAATACGTATACTATTTATGATGAACCTTCAAGGAGTGAGGGGGCGGAGGAACATTGTCACGCAATGATTTATGTAAAAACGACGGCGACGGTGTTTTAAGGACTTAGGGTAAAACGTTTAAACGTTATTAAAAAAAAAAAAAAAAACTGTATGATTACGGATTGCGTTCTGTCGTTGGATTAAACGTCTCGAACGATGTTTTATTTTCGAGTAAAAATATTTATTTTGTATATGCGTAAAATGTCTTTGTGACGATAACGATGACAATTTTTAAACGTATTATTACTATACTAGTTTTAAGTATTATTATTACTACACACGCGTTTATCATTTGATTGTGCATTTTGTAGAAATGTGACTTTGACCTCTATTTGTCTTTACCGATGGAGATTGTAGACGCGTTAAACAATCAAGTTTACCCATCAAATTACTTATTACCTAGTATTCAAAAGCGTTTATAGAATATCATATAACTCACAGGCATTTTCTGTATAATATACTAGTTGAATGGAAGAGGTTAAAGTGAATCTATGGTCGTAGTCACAATTGGCGATTAAAGATTGTGAGTGTAAATAAAAACATTATATATGTATATATATATATATATATATTTATAAGTATCTATGCAACATATTAATATAATATTAAAACCGTCTTGGTTTTTTGAATTTATTGTGTTGGATCATTGCGTGATAAATAGGTAAACAATCTTAAATATGGATATTAAAGTGGTTTTACAAAAAAACATCGGATTAAAGTATTTAACGCGACTATAACAATGTTTTTTGAAGTGGTTTTACACAAGATTCAACAGAAGCGCGCATGATAATGATATCAGTTTGATAAAAATATTGTATTATACAAAATGACAATATAAACAGTATCCAATGAATTGATTACGTAGTTGCACAAGTGTAGAATTTGAAAATAAATTACTAGTATGTTGATTAACACAATTATCAAGATTTAATAGGGAAATCAAAAAATATATATAATTGCAGTCAAATAAAATATTAATTAAGATAAATGTTAGATTTAACATGAATATTTTCTTTCCTAGTCAAAAATATTATTTATTTATTGGTTCAAGTATATAGACAATAAGTCTTATCACAATGTCCTTCCAAGTATTGACAAATACACAATAAAAAATGAAATATTATAGTCAATGAAAATACACTACTAATATAATGTAATTACAGATATTAAATAAAACCTAATTATTTTCTACGAGTGTTTTAAGATTAATTAAAATAATTAAAATCAAATGTATTATTAAAAGATTATCATGACAGCTAATAACTTAGTTTTTATTGGATGTTTTTACAATATTAAGAAATTGACACCCTCTTCTTTATTTGCTAAAAGTAAAAGTTTATAAAAAAGGTACTGATAAATTATTAATTTGAATACTAACCATTTTCTGACTAAAAACATTGTTATATTTATTTTATTTGTAAACATCAAATATGAAATAAATTATAATTGAAAATCATTATATTACAAAATACATTAAAACATTAATTTTACGTATAAAAATGTAATTTATAATCATCTTCAATTATTTAATATTTAAATTTATTAAACTTATACATATATATATATATATATATACATATAAAATTGTATCTTAAAATATTTATTCAGGTATCTCATATTTGGAGGAGAATAGTATATTATTATTGAATAAAAGTTATACTTTTTGTATTTATAAAAAATATTTATTTATAATTATTGGTGTTTTTATAGTACAGACAATACAAGTGCATGCAGTAATATTTATCAAAAATCATAAAAATTTTTTTTAACAAATAATAAAATTTGTATCAAATTAAAAAAAAATTATCACTTAGAGAACGTCGTTGTCATTGAATTTTTCTGTCTTATTAACAGATTACATAACAAATTTTCGTTTAGAATAATCTATTTTCCCAGATATTCTAGATTTTAAACGGTGCGATGGATGTAAAAATAATGCAATGATGTGTGTTTTTTTATTTTTACAGATATTTTTTAAAGGTTAAATCATGATTTGATCTTTAATTTCTAGAGGAATCTCGTTGAATCTAGTGAGTAGTTGGAAATTATATATTTTTAATACTAAAAAATATATTTGTTCTATTTTTAAACACAGGGGAAAATTAATATAAAAAATACGGAAGAATGAGAATATATTTTACACAACATCGGTTATTGATAAAATTTATCTTGTTGTGATTAAAAAAAAAAAAACTATAATTATAAAATATTAAAATACTTGAAATGTGAAATTAAAAATGTATGTTTATTATCCTAAAAACTTAAAAAATTATGTAAAAATAAATCTTTTTTGATACTACGATTGTAGATCTTTAAGTAAATCATCACATAAAATTAATTTTGAGTGTAAAATTTAATTTTTTATGGTGTGGTCTATAGGTGAAATTAATGTTAATTAGTTATACTAACATGTACGTTTAAAAAATGATAACTCTTTAATTATAATTGATTTTTGTAAATGTTTAATATTAAATAAAATTTTTAGGACATTTGATAAACACAAGTCATTATAATTCGAACAAAATTATCTCTAATTATTTATACAAGCTACGAGATTTATAATAAATGCGTGTGGTAACGGAAAGCGATATTATTAAGTAATCATAAATGTAAGATAACTTGAGATGTGGTAACGCGGAGTCCACTCGAGTAAGTAAGCTTTGAAAAAATTCATAAACTCATTTCCTCCGTCCTTCCCCAAAAAAAAAAAACCTAAATACATCGTTTACGACAATGTGTATGCCTTGATCATTAATATAATTATATAACGTCTGTTACTTTTGTTACACTCGAGATAATACAAACCATATACAATATAAATATTACATACCTAGGTACTGAAGGAATATAAGATCGAACGAATACATTCGCGTTTGAGTGTAACTTTACGTCAATAGCACTCGAATCAAGACAATGTGATTAAACAAACAATTGTGTGAGTATTTTAGCATTCGATTTCAATCTCTTAGGCTTTCCACGAACAAATTATATGCTGTTTACGTTATAGAAATGAACAACAGTTGATATAGAAAAAATAGCAGTCTTCTAAAAAGACGCTAGATAAACTATACATTATAATATAGACTATTATAAAGGTCTTGTGTGGTGTCGTTAAATTGGTAAAATTGTACATGAAAAATGCATACTAAGTTAATCGAAATATTTATTGAAGATAACAATGTCATGCCACATTATAATCCTCTTATATCACACACTCGATTTCATAACGTTTTGCAAGTGCATAGGGAAAGAACTGATAAGTTTTTACCATGATTTAACATCGAGTATAAAATACTGGTTCGCTCATCATAAAAACATAACTCGTGTTTTTGTATCAAACGTGTGTAATGCAACCATATAGTATTCCGTGCGCTTTTGCGCTGTCGATCGCGATCGCATTGCTTTTGGGAGTTACCACGAACGGTATCGAAATAAGTAAGTACGGGTTATGTGGCACGATATATTACTGAAAAAATAATGACTATGACGTGTCAAATATTTTTATTAGGTATCAAAAAAGGCAAGTTATAGAAAGTAATTAACTCAAGCTAAGTTTTTAAATGAACAAAAGATTGTTAAGATAGAAGTTAAAAGTTAACATAATATAATATTATAATACATTTGAAACCATCAAGTTTAAAGTTAATAATAATAATAATAAAAAAATAGTTAATCTACTTTTTTAGTTATACTTAAACAGTGTTTTTTTTTCTAATTTCTAAAATTATAATATACAATTGATTGACATTTTATCTTGTTAACCTTCATTTTTTCCACTATTAAATGCAATTTAATTTATTATAGGTATCAGAAATGCTTCATAATATTTGGCTTGTTTATATTTATATAATTGTATTTTTAAGTTATTTAAATTTTTTTTTTTCAATTAATTGTAGAATTTAGTTTGTGATTGTACATTTTTGTCAATAATATGTACTTTATGAATATCTATAAATAATATTATTATTTTATCAAGGAATACAACATACATTTAATTATTATTACTATAATCATTTATCATAGTATTTGATAATTTTTATTGAAGACTATCCATAATAATTTGTAAATGTAAAAAATTGATAAAATCAATTTCAAAAATATTTGGAATTTTAACTTAATGGATTATTTTTAGTTTAACTGAAAAGTCTGTTATTTCAATAGTAGTTTACTAAATTAATTAAATTCTTAAGTTAATTTAAAAAATAAATAATTAATTAAGTTATTTTTTTTTTTTTTTTTAATTAGCGCTTTGACTAGTAGGATAGACGATATAAATATATAATATGTGTACAGCGAAACGTGTATTATAATTTATAGTGAAATTTCTTTCTCTTTCATACGGTGTATGACGTTTAAAGAAGATCAAAAAGCAAATAAAATTGCTTTACTTTTTATTCGCTGTTAAAAATTATGTTTGTTGCACATATATGTTTTGCACAATAATATTATAATTAGCGTTTGTCGATTGATTACAGGGCATACTGACAACAGTGCAAAAAACATCGATGCTAGAAAACAAGTGAGCAAAAATAACGTTAGTCCCGGTGAAAATGGTAAGTGAAAAAAACGTATCGGGTATAAGTCATTTTGCCGATTTTACAATTTCCCCGTTTATATAATATTTTGCGTTTTTAGGGTAGAACTCAAAATTTGTAAATAAAACCAGATTCAATTCGAGTTATTCACTATTTATAAATTATATTATAGATTTAATAGATAGATGATTAATAGGTGTAGAGGGTGAGGTCTTAGAGAGGTTTAAATTCCTAGAATAATAATTCCAAAGCACCCAAAAAAAGATCTACGTTTTGTTCGTTTAATAATAATCGTGGAAAAGATTAATTTGTCATAAATTATCGTCTATAAATTGGATTCTATTTTTAGATATTTTTGGACCAGTAAACCAGTAACTAGTTTTTATCTTTGACAGTTTGACCCAATCGCCTATAAAAACAACTTATTTTACTAAAGGTATTTTTCGATAAAAATTAAAAAAAGTTAATCACATTTTTGATTAATTAAGTTAAAGAAATATTATGTTTTATTGTTTTGACTGTAATTTATATACCAATGTTTAATTTTTATGATCAATAGTATTAACAATTTTAAAACATCACTGCAAGAGGTTGAGGTTATTAAGACAATTTATTAGCCTATTTAAATGTGAAGTTAGGTTAAAAATGTAAGTCCCCTTTACTACATATTTCACTAAACTGTCGCCTTTGTAGTATTCTAAAAATGTATGGTTTTCGTGTTTATTTTCAATGCCAAAAAATTGAACTTTAAATTTACCTGCAAAGTTTATTTAGTTTAGATACTTTCTGTTTTTCAAAAAAAAAAACTTATTATTTCGAATTTTAAAAGCGTTTATAGCGTTTATGATTGCCATTTAAAAATGTTCGATGACTAGTTTTTAAGTTAAATACAATCTTCGATATTCGAAACAAGGCGCGATAATGCGTTCTTTTTTTTTTTATATACTTATAAAGTTTATTATAGTATAAATTATACTATTTTTTAATTATTATTTGTCTAATAAGACAAACAGTTTTGGAACAATGTCGGAAACGATCTTCTGCGGAATAAATTAAATTTGGAACGGAAGTATGGCCAAGCCAAGAACGTGATTTTTTTCATCGGTGACGGCATGTCTATAGCCACGTTGACCTCAGCCAGAATTTACATGGGACAGCAGGAAAACAACACAGGTGAAAATGAGATGTTATCGTTTGAGAAGTTCCCGTATACTGGTCTTTCGAAAGTGAGTTTACGTCCTAGTCGACTAGGACGTTAAGTTATATTGTTTTATTTTTTTTGATAACAAAAGCATTATTTTAAGGTGTAGGACCTTCGATTAGAATAACCACACAGTACTTATTTACCTAAATTAGAATTGAATTTTTACAATTTTAGTCGTATATTGTTATCGAATAAATGATGAGGGAAAATATATACATTACCATACCTACGATTTAAATATAGACAATATTATTGCGAAATATAGACAAATCATACATTATTATGCTTTTTTGATCAAAAAAATGTAAATATTTCGTTTTAATTTTAAATTTTCACATATGGTTACGTTTTAATTTTAATTCATACTACGTTATTGTTTTCAACCGAAACTTTAATGTCGTATTCCGAACAACCAAAACCATTAAGTCCAGGAACTTTCCAATAACCTTGGAGGATATATTTTATGATATTATTCGTAATTGATTTTTTACCCATTTGTCCTGATGCAGACCTACTGCGTGGACAGCCAAGTTGCCGACTCAGCTTGCTCGGCCTCAGCGTACCTGACGGGCGTGAAGGGTAACATCGAGACCATCGGCGTGTCCGGCGCCGTGTCTAACCGGGACTGCCTGGCAAGCAACGATCCCGCAAATCAAGCGGTGTCCAGTATGATGTGGGCGCAAAAGGCGGGCAAGAGGACAGGCGTGGTGAGCAACATGAGAGTGACGCACGCCACGCCGGCCGGCGCTTACGCAAACATAGCGCAACGCGATTGGGAGTGCGACCATGACATAATCACTGACACATTGGCCGAAAAGTTGTGCGCCACCGAATCACTCGACATCGCCCGTCAGCTGATCGAGAAGGAAACGGGCAGAAACCTGAACGTGAGTGACTGGTTAGGATTCGGTTCACGGGCGGTTCTCCGATCGGCTTATAGTCATGACCGCCACATCATTCACAGTAGTTTTTAACACGATTTTCTGTGTAAATGATAATATCGCGCTACCGTCTCCTTGAAATTGTCGATAATTGATCGAATCGCTACACCGCGTAGCGTATATTCAAATACAATAATAACCCGGAGTGAAGAATTTCCAAGTCGATTTCAAAGCGTGCACTCACACGAAAATTGTGAAAAATATTTCATTCAATTTCACATGACATATATAATTCAGAGATTATAAGATCGATATTAGAGAACATTAATCTTTTATTTACATTTAAAGACATTTAAAGCAATCGTACTCCACGTATAAACAATGCACACGATTTAATCCGATTTAGATTTCACTTGAAAACATCGTGTTCTCATGTGTATAGGTAGTCATAACATAGCTTATGTAGAAACGATTAGCTAAGATATTATTACGAGTATGTCGTGATTTTTGCAGGTAATAATGGGGGGTGGAAGACAAAAATTTTTACCCAACACTAATAAAGATCAAAAAGGACAGAGACGAGATGGCAAAGATTTAATTAAAGAATGGTTGGAGATAAATCGCACTTATGGCGCAAGTAGTGCCTATATTGCCGATCGATCACAATTAAAGTCTCTGAATACCAGCGAAACGGATTATCTTCTTGGTAAATATTTTATTGGTTTTAAGTTACTTACAATTATTTAATATTCTGTACCTAAAATATCATCTAAGACGTACTCCAATAATTTATTATACAACATTAAATAATGTGTAAGTACTAAGTCATAAGTGTAATTATGACTATCTATAAATACATCAATTAAAATAATATACTAACAATATTATTATAAACGCTAATGCCATCATTTTATATCTTAATACTTTAGTATGAATAAAAAGGTTTTTTTTTTAAAGATTTGGACGAATAATGATTTATTGAGCGAAGTGACTAATAATTGTTTATAAAACTTTCATGGTAACTTTATGGGAAACCCAAAAGAAAATGTAGAATATTTTTTAAGTGTAGAATATATTTTTCAAAACACTTTGTCTTGTGTTTATTAAATATTTCTTTATTGTTGCATACTTGTATATTACTGTGGCTTCAATGAACGTAAAAACGATATATTTTTTTTTTTTTTAAATAAATTTGAGAACTTATATTTTAAGTCGGAGTGTGGTTTTTTAACATCTTAATTTTAGTATTTTAATTATAAATGAATATTTAAAAAATTTAAAATTTTGTATATTTAAACTGTTAAAAAAAATAAATAAATATTTAATGAATTCTCACTCCAACATTTACAACTATTTCTAAAATTTATTTTATGGAAAAAAAGTACGTTTTTCGATTATTGAGATGATCAGCATAGACTTGAAATACATTATGTTGATAAGTTCAATAATGTTACACTGGATGTTAAAGAATAGATATAATCTATTATGATTTTCCAAGTATAAAAAATTCTGATCTATCATGATGTTAATAAAATCAAAAGTATTAAATCAAATACATATTGTACAATACATACATAATCTTATTCTTCACTAAGTCAATTTTAATTGTAATTTTGTATTACATGTAATAAAAACTATACATCTGAATGCTAATATGAATTTTAATGCAATAACACTTTAATTTAAAAATGTTATAAAAATGTTATTTAAATACAAATTGAGAGATATGATTTTTTGATTTGTAGCCTTGAATAAATGTAAAATCTAATTAATTGTAAGTGATTAATAACTAATATATTTAAATGCTTATAGGATATGAATATAATACTATATACTAATTAAAAATAATATAGGTTCATGTTTACCTGTTATTTCAATTGGTTTATTTATAAAAAGTTCTCTGTTTAATTGTATTTTGAAACCTTGAGTATTATTATTACTTAATAATCAAAACATAAATACCAAACTTCCATGCGTAAATTTAACAACTACAAGTATTATTTTATTTTTATTATTTTTTTTTTGTAAGTATCAATACTTTTTTGTTTTAAAAAAAAATTGTTATACTATTAATTTTTTTTGATGATTATATTTTAACGAAAGCAATCATTTAAGTAAATTAAATTAATTACTAAGAAATTACACTTTACGATATTGATGTGTTAATATTAAATTAATATTAATGAATTAGAAAAAAAATACAGTATTTCAAATTTTTTTTTTCAATTCCACAAGATTGGTGATTTTTGATTTATATCTATTTTTAATTTATTTTTAAAATTTATATATTATTTATATATATTGACAATAATTCGTGTGTACGTTTATTGGACATGACGTAAAATAACTAAATGTAAAACATATATAAGTGGATCTAGAAATAAAAACAGTGATGGGCTAGAAACAAAATATTCATCTATATAAGTTGTATAAACAAGGTCGGATTTTGTGAGATGATATCAACCCCGAGCCTATATAAAATATTGAAATACCTGCTATTTTACAAAAATATAATTTTCTTTGCTAGAAAAAAATATTATTTTTGTTTTAATCGAATACTACTTTTTAAATTTCTACTTTTTCATAATAATAATACAGTAATATCCGTACGATAGCTAAATAAACAAACAATTTGAAATGTAAACAATAATTTACACATAATCCAATGAATAACCACTTATTTTTTTTTCTAACATAAATAGATAGCAATATTTCTATTAAATTTGTCACCGGTTTTAAAATTTATTTTTACGGTTATTACACATGCTCTTAATAATTAATTGCTTGCATCGCATTTATTTGAACATCGAAATATATACGGATGATTATCTAAATGTTATAATTTATAACACTGAACATGGAATTTCTAGTACATAAATTAACTTTATCCAATACACTGTTTTAGTTTGAAATATTTAGGGAATTTAGCTAATAAAAATAGTGTTATTTATATTTGATAAAATTATTCATTTAGATTCAATATACGTAAGTATAATTAAATACGTATTTCTATTTTGGATTTAAAAAAAACCATGTCAGTTATTTTAACATTATAAACAAAAACTTGCAACATTTTTTTTAAACTTTGAATTTTATTTTTGTATAGCAACTTAAAAAAAAAAATTAAAATGAAACGTCATGTATAGTAGTTGTTAAACAACAGCTAACAGATAATATGGTTCCAAGGATCTTCATATGGTTAAATTCGTCCACAAATGAGCAAATTATGGCTACAAATTAGTAGAATTATGTCTAGGTAGCTTTAAAAAGAGATAAACTTTAAACGTATTGTTGGTATACTGTTAGAGACCATTAATATTTATTCCTCCCTTTTGTAAATTACCTAGATTTAATGAAAAAAAACATTGATATAGTAAAACGATTTTCAGTATTTGATTGGAATAAGTGAATGTATCCCCATAGCCACACCATTGCTCTCCTAGATCACATAATTATTCACAAATATTTAAAAATTAAAATTTTGGATTCATTTTTAAATAGATATTAAAATATTATAACCCAATGAGATTGCTCGATTATGTTACGTTTTATATTATGTTTTTTTTAAATGATTTATTATCGTTATTTCTGATTCCGTACAGACAGTTACTACACCATATATAAATAGGCAGCATTACTAACAATGAGAATACTAAACATATTTACAACTGTGTGTCTTAAACTCGTGACTTTAAATGGTCGATTACTTTATACGTACAAATATACATTATATTATTATAAATGATTCCGTGTACGCATGAAAACAAAATGCAATTTGAATTTCACGTAAACGCACGATTTTATTAAATGTATTATTATAATTTTTGTCTTACAGTTTTCGATTTTTTTTGGAAAGCATCTGCATGTAATTTACGATTTTTTATACATTTCTTATAAGTTATAGCTTACTCAATAATAAAACTTGCGAATTGATAATCAATAGTTGAATACGAAAATATCAATTATTTGAACTATTTTACGAAATATACTTAAAATATTATCTCTATAAATATGTTGTTTGTTTAAGAATCCCAAAAACAACATTTTCATTTTAAATTTTAGTGTAACGGGAAATATGTTATTTTTACGGTATTGCATTTCTTCTACATTTGTGTTCATTATTTCAAGTAGGAGGTGGAATTTGATTATCTCATTATACTTGTCTGCGCAGTTGTTTCCGGCAAAAAATTTCATTTAAGTATTGCACTTATTTTAGAAAGATCATTTTTTGATTTTCGAATTAGGTAAAAATCATCAAAAATCACTAGATTCACGACGCTTCTGTTTTTCATAAAAAATCAATATTGAAATTTTTTTTTTTACGTTTTATTTATGAGTGATTTTTGACAAAATTTGAGTATAGTTATTTTCACTTGTCGTCTCCTCGCATCTAGAACGAGAGTTCGCATTATTTCAACAGCAGCTTCTTCAAGGAAGAGATCTTTGCTAGTATTTTGAAAAAGATCATTTATTCATTTTTAAAACTTCTTGCAAACTACAGAAATTTTTTTTCTTTTGATAAAAATATTAATCGCTATTATGATAATAACTAATTCAAAAACAAATTTTACAAATTTATAAATAAATTAAAATAAATTATTAAAATATTAATTAGTGCAACATTGTAAGTATAATGATTATTATTGCACTGGTAATAGTATTAGTTTATTAGCAATTAGATATTATTCTAAAATCGATGGACGAAACTTTTCTGCTTTTTTGGAAAAGATATTGCATAATTTCATCCACAAAAATACGTAATTTTATTTTTTTCATATTTAAGAGTGTACAGTTTATTATGTATTACAACGGGTCGTACAACATTAGTAAATGGGCTTACTTGTAGGTACCACTTCTCTAGTAGTTTTAAAATTGTCATTAACAACAGGTGTATTCACTTCCGACTGTCGCTGACTCCGCCGTCAATCTGACTAGTAGTGGCTACTCGTTCGGACGAGTTAATACTGAAGTATGTGCGCACACACATGATACATCACACACGCATATATGCTAATGTAATATACGTATTTACACATAGAGGACTGACTACAAAGCGGTTTATTACACTTAAAACTACTGTATATATATATATATATATATATATAGGTACACGGGGGAAATGTGATGGCTTTTATATAGACCTGCTAGAGACGTGTTTATTATTTTATCGTTCCGGCGGACCGTCGTTTGGCTCTGCCACTCCGGACATGCATAATAATATAGTAATAATAACGACTAAAATATAATAATATTATTATGACGTTTATTATTTTTGTTTGTTTACGGTCGATTTGATGTGACGGAATTAAAATATAATATATTATAATGACGATATAACAATAGCGAACGAGGGTCCCCCAATAACGGCTGTCGAGTCAGTTGAGTGGGTCGTAAAACCGGATAGGTGTTGACGGGGCATGGGGTACCACGGACACTATAATAATAATATGAAGTGGTGGTTTACGGGAATAAGTGTGTACGATGAGGACAAAAAAACGTATAACAATTATTATTGTACTGTAGAATAATATTTAACGTCGGTCGCGAAAAAGCTCGTGGGTTAGGTTAGCTGGATTCGGGTTGTTCCGGCGCCGGTATCTGGTATCATGGGTTGCATAATACGTATTATAGTAGGTACGAGAGGTAGCGAGGATGGAATACGTATACTACCATGGCGGTAGTCCAAATCGGAAATGAGAGTTCCACCGTTGCATCTTTGTGTATAGATTTTAAAGTAGAATTTTTTGTTGTTTATCGTTACGGAACAGTAGAAAAGTATTTTTCGAGAAATTCGTTTGTTTCACCATAAACGAATGAAATATTTTAAACCAAAAATATTACGTATTCACGTTAAATATCAACGTCACAATTTATCGTAATTTAAATATAAAACAAATATTTTAACTAACATACGTGTACTCTACCAATACTATCAATTTTATACTTCAAGTTCGTAAGTAAATAAAAACAAATTTTATAATAGGTACCTGGTTAATTCTTGAAATAATAGTACACATATAAAAGTTTTAATGTTATTACGTCTCCAACGGGTTGAATATTATGATATATTATCCAGTGTATATGATAATCGCAAACTCGTAAAAATTAATGGGTAGCGTGTATAATAGAAATCTACGTAATTTAAATAAATTAGTATAATGTTATTTTCTTGAAAATTTTGATGACACTGTATATTAGTGCGATATTTAAAAGTCATAAGTTTATTTATTTTATAATTGCTTTGTGTCACGAAACGTTACACAATACAAAATAATAAAAACAATTATCCGTGATGCGTAATAAGCATCGATAAAATAAAATGCAAATATTTTTACATGGAGTATGATTTAATTTATTTTATTCAAAAAATGTATTGATTTTTATAGAAACGTAAACTAAACTAAAAAAAAAAAAAAAAAACAAACAAATAATATATAATCAATAGTAATAATCTTGAGAAAAAAAACAATTATAATGTTATTGTTGTAAATCGTTTTATTTTTTATATTTCACAGTTGATTTATTTTAATTATTTTCCCGAGATAATAAGAAATGTAGCTATTCAATATTGTTTTTTATAATTACATTTATAAATTACATGTAAACCTATGTTTGATTTATACGAATTATAAATAGAATACCCGGAGATAATTAATCCCGGAGAGTTGCTCTGTTGTATTGTAAGTTTCAAGTTAACTTGGTCATCGAGTACTTATTCACTATAATGGATATATTAAATTTGAATTCTATGATAAATCATTGCGTACAAAAAAAACGATTCTAAGCAAAAACGGTCTGTAAGGTTATATTTCACATGGTATAACATCATTCATATTTTTATTGCTACTAATAGTTTACTTTTCTAAAAGTTAAGTGGTATTTTAATTAGATTTTTCCGAAAACAAACTACATATTATTATGTTATATGTGGTAATTCACCAAACATACTCATTTCTTCTATTTTCTTTAATAATTAATTAAAGTCCTTAAACAGTTATTTAAAAAATTATGAAAATCATAATTTGAATAAATTAATAAATTTAGTGTTTTAGAGAAATTATGAAGTGAGCGTGTAAAAGCATTAAAAACTAAAAATTTTATATCGACAAAATTATTTTAGCTCTGTTTTTTTTTTTAAATACGGTCACGAACTTTACATGTTGGCAGGTCTGTTTGCAACTAGCCACATGTCTTACAATCTTTTGGCCGACAAGCTTGTGGAACCTACACTTGTAGAAATGACGGAAGCAGCCATCAAGGTGTTGTCCAAGGGCAATGCTGGTTATTATTTGTTTGTCGAGGGTGGACTCATCGACTGGGCGCATCACAGCAACTTAGCGCATTTGGCGATCGACGAAACGGTCATGTTGTCGAAAGCTGTGGCGCGAGCTAGAGAGTTGACGTCTTCAGATGACACGCTGATCGTGGTCACGTCTGATCACTCACATACTATGACTATAAATGGTTACCCATATCGTGGTAGCAATATTTTAGGACACCCGCAAATTGCCTCTACTGATAATATGCCATATTCGACGCTCAGTTACGCCAATGGTCCATCTGCTCGTGAACGGTACAACTTGACCGACGACAATACAGGTACATGTTTTTAGGATTTGTATTTTTTGCTTTGATCATACTTTTCTGTAAGGGTAAGTTATTCCAACCATCAATGATGCAACTTAATAACAATTTTACTCGACTGGGGATTTTATTCACGACTATTATACCACTATGAGAAGAAATTTGTAACAATATCCACCTAGTTATTTTCAATTATAAATCAAAGTTGTTTTCATCGTTAATATTTATTCATGTTCTACATATATTTTGTAAATATAAAATATTTTTTCTAGGCACATTATAAAGATTTGATTAGCTTGGAGCAGAGGTTGCAAAATTATAATAACTAAAAAAAATTATCTGTTTGTGGCGACGAAATAATTAAGCATTCTGTTCGTATACTGTAAACAAACAATTACATTTTCATTAACTGAATACTCTTAAACCAGATAAAATTTCAGCGACTGTAAGTGTTTGGGTGTCCGGTATTTAGAAATTTCATTATACGTATAGTACCTATTACAACTTAATGTACGTAGGTATTTACAAATATCCATAATATTTCTATTATTCAGCTTTGTACTACACTAACGACGTTGAAGAATATTCTAATTCAATATTAGTTGTATACATTATCAAATACAAGTATTCATACAAACAAATTATTATTGTTATTATTACATAAACACACACACACTTCAGTACATAAAACAATATTATAGATCTTTCTATAACTGCAGTGCAAATGTGTGAGTGTATGAGTGTGCACATGTGATATAATAATAATTCGTTTGTACTTAATAATGATTATTATTACCGGGGGCTTTTGTCTCCTATCATACAATAATTATTGTCACGGTTAGGCTGCTCCTTTGTATTTTATATACCTGTTGTCATTGTGCTGTGGTGTTTTGTCCTAGATCCGCTGTTTTTAAACAAATTATGTCTTGTTAAGTCTATGTGCAAGTGTAGAATATATAGGTACGTATTTACATGTGTATCTGTATAGTTCCGGCCACCACGTAGTACGAAATCATGATAATATATTCTTTATTTGGGTTAAGCAATGCAAAAACAGTTCAGCCTCCATGTAGTGATTTTACGCGAAAAAAAAATATATTCTTTATCAAATAATGTAAAAAGTAAATATTTGCGTGTATTTTTCCGTAATATTTTTGGTTAGCAAAAGTTTATTAATTATAATTGTATTTTGTTGTGAAAATAAAATAACTATGCTATTTTGGCACCTTTGGAATTGAGTAACCGCTACAAACGCATTTGCGCAAAAACCCAAAAATTAGTATTTTGATCTTTTTAAGAGGTGATTTTCACAGAGGAAGTCGTTGCTTAATAAAGTATTCTTATTTGAAAGCTTTGAAAACCGTTATGCGTCATTAGAATAATACGAAAGGTCATATTCAATACATGAATGTGAAATATTTTTAAACTAACTTGCGAGACTCGCCAACTTAAAAGTTACGATCATGATGAGGATCTCTTAATTCTATTAAGTAAAATTTACTTAATGTGTAAAATCGCACACATAAAAAATTATATTCAATTTTAAGACATTTACGTGAAAATAAATTTGTGAATATTTTTTTTAAAGTTCTGTTTAAACAAATATATTTTTAACTTACTTTTAAAATTATTTAACTCCCGCAGACCAACCCACTTACCAATTTCCGTCTATGGTAAACTTGGCAATGGAGACACATGGTGGTGAAGACGTCGGAGTTTTTGCTTCCGGTCCATGGGCTCATCTATTCGTTGGAAATTACGAACAGAACTACATACCGTACGCAATAAGTTATGCAGCTAAAATGGGTCCTGGAGCTGAATTTGAACGGAAACACGAGGAAAACGCCGATTCATCGAGTACGAAGATTTCGGTCGGTTCATCGTTTTTACAGTCTGTATCGCTGACCACATTCACGGCACTCATTGCGCTCCTACTTCAGTAACCATAATAGTATTACTTGAATTATTGTATAATAATAATCAATGGTTTTGCGACTAAAACACTCGTCGCTGCCGTGACGTATACGACTTAATTATGTTTTTTTTTTTTATTGGGGAAGTGGAAGAGGGTGTTAACGATTATGATTAAGTGTACCATACCATTTGTTTTACTTTTGATCATAAAACACAGTAATTTTTCTTAGTTGTCACACGTAATTTAGATGTAAATTAAATATGAAAATATAAATAATAAACAACTACTAAACAATAAAATAATATTATATTTTAATAATATTATTACGCAGTATTAAAGGCATTGATACAAAATTATTTTTAATTTAAGGAGATACTCAATCACCAAAAAAATATTAAATTAATGAATTGTACATGATGTACATGTATAATTTATACATATATATATATATATATATATATATATATATATATTATACTTAAAATGTACAATCACTTGTAATTATGAAAAATAGCTATTATCAAATGTATGCACATAATATAGTAAATATATAAAATTTATTATATACATAACCTCATTTAACTTCATTAAACCTCATAAATATATATATTGTATGTGACAAAACCTATATTAAAAAAATTCTAGATACGTATTACGAGTGCTAATCTGTGGTGTGTGGAAGTCAAATACTAAATATACTGATTGTAAATCTCAATGTATATTGTGCGCATACTCGTGTCAACCTTAAATTAATATAAGGACGGTGTCGGTAGTAGGGGATATGATATTTTTTGCTAATTTTAGTACTTGTAATTTGCGTCTTGAATATATTTAAGCATGAGTTAATTTACACAAAGATGCAAATGTAAGGGTATGAACAGTTAGTATTTTATTTGTAAATTTAAATTTTTTTTATCATAAAATGTTATTTTAAAATACATAATTTGGCCTATAAAAAGATTATTACATAGAAATACTAGATTATGATTTATGTGTTTTACAACTTAACCTAACTATATTACTTCTAGGATCTATTTTTTGTTAGTAGTTTTTAAATACTCGGAGCAGAATATTATGTTTAATAAAGAATATTCATAAATTAAAAACAAGTACTATACCATGGTTTGATAAAAAAGTAGTTTTTAAATACCCAATGACGAGAATAATAATCATTAGGGTGTATTAAGACTGCACCGAAAAAAAAATTGGAAAGAAAAACTGTAAAGTGCTAAAGTTTTCAACAGAATTTAAATACTTAAAACGTTAAAACTTAAATAACCGTTGGAATACATAATGTATATTAATTATTCGTCTTTTGAAATATTTACAAATATTATCACCATAAATTGGTTGTTTTAGATTTTAAAAGAAAAGAAAATTAATTTTTTTTTTTTTTTTGTTTTTAATAATTCATGTAAAAAAAAAAAAAAAAACACACATTGAAATCATTAAATACCGGTCAATATCGGTTGCTAAAATTTATAAAACAAGTTTGATAGCTCTCAACATAAGCAAGTACTTATTTTTTTATAAAATCATGTTATAAGACACTAACCTATAAAAAAGTTTTTAACTGGGATAAGCATGATAAATGCAATGTCTAGTGCATGTACTACAACTTGTAAAAAGTAGTCATATACCTATAATTAGTTTTAAAATGTATTATTTAATCAAAATCAAAACGTTATTACTGGAATTAATACTTAGGACTTAGGGTAATAACTAGGTATTAATGTACTTATTGTATATTATAGATATTTTTTTTAAATTTTGATTCGTAACTTATTATCTTCGTCAAATATATATATAAACACATGAATAATAACTTAAGTTTCTATACTGCAGTGTACACGTTCACGTTTATTTTAAGTTTGGATGCCATAGAGTAAAACATGTTTCCGAATAATCTACATTCAATAAAATTAACATTCAGATCGGTCAGCAGACGTGTTCATATATGTTTACATTTATTTTTCACAGTTTAATTAAAACTAACAATTACAAGATCGATCTGGTGGTAATACATATTTTAATTTACAACGGTAGAAAAATTTAAATGTGTTCAGTGTACAATGATAGCTGTATCGTGTAATAATAATAAACGAATTGCATGCAAACGCGAAAATAAAACTGTTGTTAAGCCTGTTATTGGTCCTAATCCGGTACAATTACGATCACGGAATTAACGATAACGAAAGTAGAGCAATAATTATAAATTTTGTTTGGTCGCGTGCTAACGTCATTTATAAAAAATTGTTCATATTAATTTTGTTATAAACATCACGATAATTGCACGTATCGGATGAATAAAAAACAAAAAAAAAAAAACAAAAACAAAAACAAAACATCACTGTGTGCGATATGTGTATACGAAAAACGTGTATGTTTTTCAATACCCAACCTTCAGTCTCGACAACTGTTTCGTTTAAAAAGGAAACCCGCGAAAAAACAAAAAAAAATGTCAACACGAAAACAAGTTTAATTCGAAACAGAAAAAAGGTACTTTATATATATATATACAAACACTAACACGTATTACGATCATACGTCCTGTAGGAAGTTCGTGCGTCCTCTACCACACGAGAGAAAAAATAACTTCATGACCGATTGCAAAAACACGTCTTGTATGAGGTGAAAAAAAATAACAATAATAAAACGCTGTGGCGGTATTTTCTGGGCAAACAAATTGCGTAAGTATTAAAAACGAAAAAAAAACCCAAACTCAAAAGGCGGTATATAGTGTTTTGTTATAATTGACGTTTTTCGTTTAGGCTGTACAACGTTCTCTCGAATGCGGTTTAATTTGGACTTTTCGTTGCCACTTCATCCCCGATCCAGTTCGTGGGTTCTGTTGAAATGTGGAATTTCTGCGATTTCTCGTTTGTACTTTTCTCTCTCGCTCTCTCTCTCTCATACACACACACACACACACACACACACACACAAATATACAAATACACAAGCATATATACAATATTACTGCACAGTGTAGCCATCTCTCTTGGACGCTCGAATATAATATATAGTTTTGGAACAAGAGTCAAACGTAGTCGTGTAGGAGTGCAAACGGGCGGTATGAGGATGACGCCTCGAGAAAACCAAAAAGTCTGTGGTGCACACGCCGTTAGCATATATACATATAATAAATGTAGGTATGAATGTACATACTATATAATATATATATGTATAACTCGGATTACACCTAGTTCTATGCTCACACACACGCTTCGCACATCCCCCGACTTCACGTCTTTCTACAGACGGACATACTCAACGTCACTATATGTAATATGCAGTTGTTCGATAATGCGGTGTGGTGTATAGTACCGTTTACAATTTTGGGTTGAGAGCACAAAACAAAATGCTGTTTTTAGAACAGCACCGTGTTACGAATGCATTCGCATAACCTAATCCGCGTCTACAACCGATAATAAATATTCCAGTCGGATTGGCAGTAATTAAAATTGAAATTTTGCCTGCGAGCGAGCGCTATTATAACAATACGTTGATTGCAATATACAACTCGTAAGTTCAGGACCAAAAGTTCCTATGCAAAAATATTGGATCGTTTAGAGAAATTTATCCTTAATACTGTAATATCTTCGTTCGTAATGTACGGTTTTAATTAATGGTCGTTAAATATAAAAATTAGTAATATTTTGCGCTGTCCACATCGCGGTGCATACGAAATAAGTTGTTAAGTGTCAATTATAATATTATAATAACACGAGTTCACGCGATACGCGATTTGGGTTTCCAGGACAACAGTTTTGACGAAGAAATCGTTTTTAATCGGATTACCGTCACAATAGGGAAACACGGAAATATATCATATAGTCATATGTACGAGAGTATATAACTAGGTTACGGTTGTGTCACTAAAAGTCTTACCGAGCCGTGAACGAGCTGCTCCTGAATAGGTATTCACTGCAACTTGTCCCCAAACGCTCGTCAAAGTTTTCACGGATTCGCATCGACGATTTGAATTAACGCATTCTATATTCTTATTCGTACATACCATATATTATATTGAACACATAGGAAGTGTTTCCAACATTTTGTATTCAAAAAAGATAAATTAACTAATAAAATATAAATAAATTATAAGATATTCTTAAAAATATACTCTAATATTCTATTGTTTTCGCTCAGAATAATTGTTTTTCGTGTACAATGATTTATCATTGAATTCAAATTTAACACATCAATAGCAATAACTTACTCAATGATGAAACATATTCAAAAAGTCAAAAAGTACTTTGCTGAACATTGATGCATTTCTCAGTTTTTATTTTTAACTATTTTATATTGCTAACAGCCACATGTTCTCTTTTTTTTTTCTGTGAGATTATTTATAATAAAGTGAAACTTTATTATCATATACTACGAAAATTAGATTAGGTGAAAATAACCGCAAACTTAATATCGTTATTTTCCCACTATTTTTTTTTTTTTATATATATACATACAAACTACAAAAATAGTGTCTACTCCGTGCCAATACGTATATACATATTACTATCATAATATCATAATATTAGCGATGACTTGGTTCACCGAGGCGAGATAAATAATGTATAGCGTTAACGTTATTTGTGTAATATAGTAGTATATTTATACCTACAAATTTTCTGTTACACGAATGTTATTTGTTTATTCCAAATGTTTTACCATTGATCTTCGAATAGACTACAGACGATAACGGAAAAAGTTTAGAAAAAGTGACGGTAGGGGAGGAGTGTCAAAAGACATCTCCTAATGGGATTAGCAAAAATTAATATTGTTTTTTTTTCTTGTAAGTACTTGGTATGCAGGGTATGCAGCACAGGATGAAAAATTGGTAGGACGAAGAGAAAGCCGGGTTCGAATTAAAAAAAAAAAAAAAAAAAAGCGAAAACGACCTTTGACCACGAACAGCGGTACTGCGTATGAGCACTCATCGATAAAAAAAAAATAAATAACTACAATACGATGACGAAAATATTGTTTATCCATTTAGCTTGGTGGTCGTCTTTTAATTGGATTAAAAAAAAAAAAAAAAAATGATCATGGTCGGCGTATTATATAACCTATATGAATTGAAAATAAATATAATATATTTTTATAAAAACATTCCCT